AGTCAGCAAACACCTGTCCCTTGATTGAGGTTCTGAGTAGAAATTGAATATCATACTGGCCAAGTTCCAGAGCCCACTTTGAAACACGTCCAGATGCTTCCGCACTGCGTAGTACTGATCGGAGGGGATAATCTGTCAGCACCACAATGCTATGCCCCTGGAAGTAATGCATGAGCTTCCTTGCCGCCATAACTAGGGCTAGGATGAGCTTTTCCAGCGAAAGGTAGCGTGTTTTGGCGTCAACCATTGCCTTACTCACATAATATACTGGCCGCTACTCCCCTAGCTTTTCCTTTATCAATACGGCGTTGACAGCTCGATCAGAAACTGCCAGGTACAAAATGAGCGGGTCGCTAGCAGAGGGTGTTGTGAGGAGTGGTACTGAGCAGAGGTAGGTCTTCAGGTCGTTAAAAGCGACTTCGCACTCGGCGGACCATTCAAAGGCCTTGCCCTGCCATAGTGTATGAAAGAATTGTCGGCAGCGATCTGTGGACCAGCTTATAAACCTGTTGAGTGCGACAGCCATCCCCATCAACTTTTGGACCTCCTTTACTGAACGAGGGGAGCTGAGCTCCAGGATTGTTGTGATTTGCCTTGGGTTGGCTTCAATTCCTCTGTGGTTGACAATGTAGCCTAAAAATTTACCAGAGCTGATACCAAACGCACATTTGGAAGCGTTCAACTTCATTCCATATTTGTGTAAGATGGCGAATGTCTCTTCCAGATTGGCTATATGATTCTGCTCTTCTTTGGATTTGACCACCATATCGTCAATGTATACTTCCATAGTTTTGCCGAGTTTCTCCTTGAACATGGTGGTGACCAATCTCTGGTAGGTTACCCCTGCATTCTTCAACCCAAAAGGCATTACTTTATAGCAATAGGTTCCTCTTGGGGTGAGGAATGCAGTTTTCTCTTGGTCCTCCGGGTGTATAGCGATTTGATGATAACTTTTATAGGCATCAAGGAAGCTCATACGCTGATGGTGCGCCATAGCATCTACAAGCTGGTCTATCCTGGGAAGAGGAAAACAATCCTTTGGGCAAGCTTTGTTTAGGTCCGTGAAGTCTATGCACACTCGTCAAGTCTCATTTTTCTTCTTCACCACCATCGTATTAGAGAGCCATGTAGGGTAGGTCACTTTTCTAATTGCTCCGGCGTCAAGCAGCCTGTCAACCTCCTCAACAACGGAGGCAGTGTGCTCTGCAGTTGACCACCAGCTTTTCTGAATGATCGGCTTACACTTAGGATCGACATTCAAATGGTGTTGTGAAACTGACGGATCTATACCTGTCATCTCGTACGGAGTCCATGCAAAGATATCAAGGTTGTTGAGCAGGAAAGATATTAGCTGCCGTTTGTCGGCCTGATGCAAGGATGCGCCGACCATGAAGAACTTGTCGGGGCTTCCATCGATTTGAACTCGTTCTAAGTCTTCCGTTGCCTTTTCATTTGGAGGTCGCCCATCATCATCGAGGCTTTCTCGATCCGACAACTCAATGGAATTCACCTGTAGTTCCTTTGGCGTTTTCTCAGCAAGGAGATAACATGCTTATGCCGATTTCTGGAAGCCACGAATTTGCTCAATACCGCGTTCTATCGGGAAGCGGAGCAGCTGATGATAGGTGCTGGGAACGGCTCGCATAGTATGCAACCAGGATCGCCCCATGATGAGATTATATGGCGACGGCAGCTTGATGACCAAGAATCCCACATCCACTGTTCGGGTACCTGCTCATACGGGAAGTTTGATTTTTCCCAAGGGGTACTCTGGATTGGCATTGAAGCCGAATAAGGGGTAAGGGGCCGGAGAGAGATCGGATTTGGAGAAGCCAAGTTTGGTGAATGTCTTGTAGTACATAATCTCCGATGTGCTCCCCGAATCAATGAGTACGCGTTCAAAGGTGAATCGGTTCACGCGCAACTCAATTACCAAGGGATCAATGTGGGACAATGTTACTCCGGCAAAATCTAAATCATCGAAAGTGATAACCTCGGCTTCATGGGGCCGTTTAGCCGGAGTGAGTTGCTCTTGAGGGTTAGACTTTGACTGAATTGCGTGCACTGCCAATGACATTGGTAGGCTGTATATCATGTGGATCGCGCGGAGCGAACGTGAATCCTGTGCCAAGGCTATTGCTTGGGTTGGGTTGCCTTTTCGGACGTACTGTTGTAGCCGGCCGTCTTGTACCAATTTATCATCGTACAGGGTGATAAATTTCTTGGGTAGCACTGCCTTTGCGATCTGTCGCGGAAAAGGATCGTCTTGATCGTCATCCGAGCTGTTTCTTCTTTGCTTACACCTTGTACGGGGACTCTCTTCAGAAGAACTGGTAATTTCAGATCGTCCCTTCTTCTTGAGCTCCGAGGATAATGAGTCGGAGTTGCTATCAGTATCTTGTTGTCGAGCTCGAGATCGTCGACCAGCTGCCCTCACGGGTCGTTCCGGGGCCTTGATATGCAGCTTGTTTGGACTTCGCCACCTCCAAGGCCAAATCCTGACGGAGATGTTCGTTCTCTGCAATCATGTTCTCCAATCTTTGTTCGTTTTACTGTGCTTGTTCCAGGATCGCTTGCATTGCGTCGTGCTCTGAAGTCAAACGTGAGGCAAAATTCAAGGCACGTCTTGCGGCGAAAGTCTCTGTTCCAAGCATGGTTGTTGGAATGGTTGCATCTTACGGTATAGGGTCAACAGTGACTGTCAGAGGATCTTCCGTCACGCTCGCCATGGATATGCTCGAGTATTCCCACAGACGGCACCAATTGTAGAGAAGTGATTTGGAAATACTCTTCTGATCCTGAGGAACGCTCGTGATCCTCTTCCGGTCACTTGAAAAAGAATAAACACTCCGGCGGGGGTGCCGAAATTAGCACTCCGACGGACAAGTCAGTAACCACACTCAGAAATACTTATATTCTAAGTTAAGCACTACAATTCTCACATACCTCTTTCTGGTTGATGTTCTTTTATTTATATCTTTTCTTCCATGGGCCTCGGGATTAGGTCCATTTCCAACTCATATTCCGCATATCTTATAATAGACCGACCCTCACTCGGCCCCTTGCCTAATCGGCTATTTGGCCGAATAGGGTTGGATTTGAACATGCGAGCCAATTGCCGAGTGTTTCGAATCTCGACTCTCCGAGATTCGACTATCCGGAATCTCTACGACTTCCTCTTCTCGGCCCCACAACCTCACAGAGATATGTAATTTTCAAAAGGTGAGGGGAGGAACTGTAATAGATATAAACCTCAGGGATGTGAGTATAATTTATCCATTTTTAAATTATTTAATAAATGTAAAAGGTGAAATAAACTATCTAAACTATTAATGATCTTCTTAGAGTATCTCCAATCGTTCATTTCTTTTTTCACCAAATTTGAGTAAAAAATAAGTTGTTTTCTCAATTTGATACGGCTTCCTCTAACGGTGAGTATCAAACCTGTTGAACAAAATATATGCAGAATTGAGGGAAGGGTCGACCGGTTGGTCAACTGACCGATCGACCAGTATGACTATTTTTTTTTTTTAAACATGTTTGAACCTTTCGACCTGTTTGAACCTACCTATTTGAAAGGGAATGGTCGACCGGCTGGTTGACCGGTTAGTCTCCCCCAACGGTCACGTACAGTAAAATGATGAAATCTGGAGTCTATTCTCACTTTGATGAATTTTTTGTTCTATTCTCATTTTGATACCAATTTACTGAAACCATTGAAGTTTCAAAAAGTGACTTTTTCACCAAATTTTAAATCTGATACAAAGTTTGATGAACCGTTGGAGATAACCTTAGACCTTTTCTACTATGCAAACTATATAAATGATGTATATTGTTAATTTTTTTTCTAAAATAATTTAGAAAATCAGATTACGATAATAGCTTGGTAGAAAACAAATAATAATAATAATTGGGGTCTGTGTGCCGGTGAAAGTGAAAAGTGAGTGATTAACCACAATTAAAAGCAACGAATTAAGGACTTACTTGGAAGTGTTAGGTTATTATATATATATTTTTATTTTTATAAAAAAATATGAAATGTGAGTTAGAATTAAAATGATATGATAGAAAAATTATATATAATCATATAAGATGGTTGTGATTTAAATAAGATAATGTATTAAAATAATATGTGTTATTTTAACACATGTCAAATAACCTGATGTAATCATATAAGATGATTATAATTCAAATAAAATAATATATTAATCATTTTAACACATGTCAAATAATGTCTAACTTTTTAAACTCAAGGTAAACTTAAAAAGATTTTAAAGATTATTTGATATGTATTATTTTAGTGCATATATTTTTATTTTATTATTTTATTTACATATTTACTTTTGTAAAGGTTAAAGCGTGGCTATGAATAGTGAATTACACAAAACATGAAAGAGAGAGGAGAGAGAATGACTAGACTAGAGAGAGAGAGAGGGAGAGAGATTTTACTCTCCCCGAGGATATGCAGGTTGCAGTGGCCACCAAATGTTGTGGTTCTAAGTTGCAAGGAGAGAATCGTCGGTGATTTAGACTAAGTTTGGCAATTTTAATACTCTTTCTGTCCCAAAATAATGGTTCCTTTTAGGGAAATTCAACTTTTTTTGGTAGTACAATTATTGTACTTTTAAAAAGTTAGTTTTCCAAAATTACCCTTTGATAGTACACTTTTTTGAGAATATCAATGTCATAATTGTACTTTTTATATTATTTATGAATTTAAAAGAAGGGTAAAATAGGAAATTTATATTATTTTTGTACTTGATTTTTGAAGAGGGACTAATATTTTGGGACAATAAAAAATAAAATAAGGGACTAATATTATGGGACGGAGGGAGTATTGTCAATTGTCAAGCCAGACTTTAATCTCAAGTCTTATAGGAGAAAAAGAGAGAGAGAAATATGGGCACAGAAATAGACAAGTGGAATTGAGGAATGAGAGAGAAAAAATATATTTGAGGAGAGAGACAGGAAGAAAGTGAGTAAAATATTTAGAGAAATAGACTAGTGGAATTGAGGAATGAGAGAGAAAAAATATATTTGAGGAGAGAGACAGGAAGAAAGTGAGTAAAATATTTAGAGACAGAGAGAGGGAGAGAGTGAAAACTTTGAGAGATAGAGATAGAGATAGAGATAGGAGGTGTGTTGGGTTTGAGAGTGAGGAGCGAAAAAGGGGGTTGTAAGAAGAAGCAAGAGGAGGAGAGAGAGATGTCCGGAAGCTGTAGTGGGAAATAGGGGGCAAAAGTGCAGAGCATTTGGTCTTCTCTCTCTCTCTGGGACAAAACTCAGCAAACCCTCTTTCCTTTTATTTTACTTTATTTTTTTTCCTTCAAAAAGCTCATCCTGTCCGGTCTTTCTATTGTCGGCCTCTTTTCCGGCCAGACCCACCTCCCGGAAACTCCTGATTCGCCGGAAATAACCAACCCCCGGCTGTCTTATACCTTTATTGACCCCGTTTGACTCAAAGTTCTCAACCTTTTTCTATTTCTTTTTTTTTCTTTTTTTCTTTTTTTACTTTGTTTCTTTTCTGGGAAAATCTGAGGAACTTCCCTCGCAGCTGAGAAAATCTAGTCTAGCCTAATCACTAGAGTCTGATTGTCTGATTCGCTAGCTTCGATTTGGCTGAGGAAATTTTGAGAATTTGGTGGGGCTTTGTAAATTTTGAGAGTTTGGTGGAGCTTTGTTTGAGAGTTTTGTGAGTGATGAAGATGCCGGCGAATGGTGCCGGAAGTTGTCCTCCGGCGACGGCATCTGGCAATTCCAGCGAAGGTGAGCTTCTGTGTTGGTTGTTGACTTTACTCTCTTTTCTTTTTACATTGAAACAACCGGTGGATCGCCTCAACTTTAAGAAGCCGTGTTTGTCCTTTCTTCTTCGTTTTCTCTCTTACTCCTCTTTTTGTCTTTCTTCCTTATCAGAATCCATATGGCTTTACTAAAATTTTCTCAAAAGAAAAAAAAACCAATTTCCGGGAAAATACGGAGAGGCTTTTGTCACCTTGTGATTGGTTTGAGGTTGGAATGTCAGTTGTAAATATTCCAAAGTTTTTTCTTTTTTCTTTCTTTCCATTTTCCGTTATTCTCGCGGAAACCAAACAATGAGTGACTGACACGTGTTATTTGGTGGTAGGATCAGGAGAGAAGAAGAGCATAAACCCGGAGCTATGGCAAGCGTGCGCCGGTCCTCTGGTGAACTTGCCGGCCGCTGGGACCCATGTCGTCTACTTCCCACAAGGCCACAGCGAACAGGTTTGCTGTTATATATATAGACATACATGTAAAAAAACAAACACACACACACACATACTACCATATACTATTCTTGCTATCATGCGCCATATGGTTAATCTTCAAAGCTAATTTTCCAAGATGTTTAGGGCTTGGGGTTTCATTTATTGTGTGCTGGCGTTGAATTTTGCTTCAAGTAGTTTGTTGCCTAAATGTGGAATTAACAGTGCCCATGGTGAAAGTGACAATCATCAGTTTTAAAAACTTGGTAATCAATATGAAGCAATATCATAATGCCTATTGGTGCATTTTTTAGAGGTATTTTGGGTGTAAAGTACGAAATTAATGATCCCCCTTGATAAAGTAGTTTGGACACCTTTCTTTTTTTGGCTAATATGTGTGTATTTATATTACTTGCTGATAGAGCTTACCTATCAAAAAATCATCAATTATGCTATGGGGACCAAATTCGGGTCAGTACTTAGAAATGAGGTGTATGGTGTCGATTCAAACTCAGCGTGGTATGGGTCAGGCTAAGAATAAATCTGGCCCGCACATTTCATTTTTTGGATAGTTTTTGGGGTAAATTTGGGTACCCATGATGGGTCAACAAGGTGGTAATTTGATGGACACACCATATATGGTATTCAAAATTTGGTAGGTCACTGTAACATTACTGTGTGTATCTATACCACTAGAGAATGTTCATGCTTGTAATCAGTCAGCCATTGGCGAAGCTAGAGCTTAGTTTATATTTTCCTTTTACAGATTGTTACAGATTGCTACAGATTGTTATTGATTTATGAATTGAAAATTTGTTGCATTTCCAGTGTTGAATGGACCCAATACAATAGTGGCTATATGATTGAAATACATGAAATACATGAAAACTTTCTGTTTAATTATTGTATTAATTATGGGACCTACATGTTTATCCTCATTGCATGTGTAAAAATCTCCATTTCAGGTTGCAGCATCTATGAAGAAGGGTGTGGATTCTCAAATCCCAAACTATCCAAATCTTCCCTCAAAGCTACTATGCCTCCTTCACAATGTCACGTTGCATGTATAACTGGCTTTAATTAGCTTTCATTTCTTTTATGCAAAAACGGGTCAATAGTAGTAATTTCTTGTCATCAGCTAATTTAATCATGTTTATTTCCTAGGCGGATCTAGAAACGGACGAAGTATATGCTCAGATGACGCTTCAACCTGTTCCCTCTGTAAGGACTTGCTGCAATATTAACTGTTGCATTATCCTTGTAGTAAAACTATCCATAAAACAAAGTTGATCGATGAACAAAAAATGAAAAAGCAAGTTTGAAGGTATAGGAAGATTTAGCCCATAATAATGTCCAGGGTAAGAAAGGATTATTACAGTTAATTTTAAATTGCCTAATCAAACTGAATCTATCTACACCTTTTGTTACAGTTTGACAAGGATGCATTATTGAGGTCAGATCTTTCGATGAAGGCAAATAAGCCACAAACAGAGTTTTTTTGCAAAACTTTGACAGCGAGTGATACAAGCACTCATGGAGGTTTCTCTGTACCTCGCCGTGCAGCAGAAAAAATTTTCCCTGCTCTTGTAAGATCTTTTATTTAAAGATTTTGTTGTACTTACTCTAAAATCATGGGTCATGTAACCTAATACTCTCACTTCTTTTGTAGGATTTTACCATGCAACCACCTGCTCAAGAACTTCAATCCAGGGATCTGCATGATAATGTATGGACTTTTCGCCATATTTATCGAGGTAGGTTCATTTTGTAGGAACTTCATATTTCTTGAGACTTCTAAACCTCGTTTGCCTGTTGTTGTTACCCTTATTGGGCATTACATTTCAAAACATATGATATGATTCTGGTATGTCATGATTTAGGGCAACCAAAACGTCATTTACTCACTACAGGGTGGAGCCTATTTGTTAGTGGCAAGAGGCTTTTTGCGGGTGACTCAGTCTTATTTATTAGGTAATGGAATTAAATTTCTAAATCACATTGTGGTGAATGGCAACTTTCTGACCTTGATTATGAACTTGTGTTGGATTACTTTGGACAAACCTTAAATACTTTTTATGGTTGTGACCAGGGATGAAAAACAGCAACTTCTTTTGGGCATTAGACGAGCTAACAGGCAACCTACCAATCTGTCATCATCGGTGTTGTCAAGTGATAGTATGCATATTGGAATTCTAGCAGCAGCTGCCCATGCGGCTGCAAATAATAGCCCCTTTACTGTCTTCTACAATCCAAGGTCTAGTTGTTTCTGTTTGTTTTACTGGTATATTTCCTTTGAATTTATCATTCTTACATGATGTGCATTTCCCAGTGAGTAATGAAACTATTTACTTGGACAATATTAGTCATATTTAACAGTAAATTGCTTTGGTTGTTGTGGGAATTTTTCTGATAATTTTGTGTGTATGCAGGGCAAGTCCGTCAGAATTTGTTGTTCCTTTAGCCAAGTACTACAAAGCTGTATGCAGCAATCAAATATCCCTTGGCATGCGATTTCGGATGATGTTTGAAACTGAAGAGTCAGGAACAAGAAGGTAGTTGTATTTTTTGAGTCTTTATTATCCGAAACATACCAGTAATCAATCTGGTTGGCACATGAAATTAAAACACACAAACGGTGACGACAATTTGATGATTAATCCCGTACATGATATACAACTTTAAGACTGACTTCTATTTTCAAATTGACAAGATGGTTCTTGGTTTAGTTTTTAGGTACCAGTGTATCCTGTTTTATTTTCCACACAAGGCATGATTTTCAAACCCAGTATCTTTAAATTTAAAAAGCTGATTGTGTAACTTGAAATGCCTTTTGAAAGGATTAAAGAAAGACAGCTATGTTACTGCAGGTACATGGGCACAATTACAGGAATCAGTGATCTAGATCCTGTGAGATGGAAAAACTCACAATGGCGAAATTTGCAGGTAAAAACTGTGGTCTTCATTCCTTGTGTTTTTAAAATTTATTTATAAACTATTTTTGGTCTAACAACATAGTTAACTCATCCTTCACACTATACTCTTGAGTAGGTTGGTTGGGATGAATCAACTGCTGGGGAAAGGCGTAACCGGGTCTCAATTTGGGAGATCGAACCTGTTACAGCCCCTTTTTTCATCTGCCCAACCCCACCATTCTTCGGATCAAAACGTCCACGGCAACTAGGAATGCCAGGTAATGGATGTAATGCTTCAACCTTTACTAAATTTTTTGCCCTTTCCTTTGCTGTTATTTTTAACGTGCCATTCTTTCAAATTGAAGAAATGGTTATTACATGGATGGCATTTGGGTGTGGTGGCATTTAAGGGGAGCCCATGTTGCCTGGGCCTCCACTTTTGATCTGCTGAGTAGGCCCACCAAGGACTTATCCTGGATAAAAGTGGAAGGCATAAGCTGATCCAATTATCCATTTAAAAAGGACACAAAAATGCAATGGACAGAGTTTTATGGGTTAGATGCTCTTTTTGTCCTGTCCTGTCTTGGTCAACCTTTGACCTTTGAAGGTATCTATGTTGTGGTCCTTCAGTGGTGAATAGTATCAAGTGCTAAAGTCATGATTAGAACCTTGAAGATACTTCTGTTAGAAAGAAGACACTTTTTTTAGCTCAACAATGATTTGACTATTTGAAGGCTGGGTTTTGGTAGGGTATTTCTGACCCCACTCTCCCTTTATTATTTTACTCTTTGCAGATGATGAATCTTGTGGTCTAGAGAACCTATTCAAGAGGACAATGCCTTGGCTTGGTGATGATATGTACATGAAGGATCCCCAATCTCTCCCTGGACTAAGCTTAGTCCAGTGGATGAACATGCAACAAAACCCTTCTCTGGGTAACTCATTACAGCCCAATTACTTGCATTCCTTATCTGGGTCAGTTCTGCAAAACCTTGCCGGAGCAGATCTAACGCGTCAGTTAGGCGGCTTGCCATCACCCCAAATCCCTCAGCAAAACAACTTACAGTTTAATACCCAGAAGCCAACCCAGCAAACACAGCTTGATCAGCTCCAAAAGCTACCAGCTGCTGCCACATTGAATCCCTTAGGTTCTATCATACAGCAACAACAACAACAACAACAACAGTTTGTTGATATTACTCAGCCGCCAAATCAAAATCTACCCTCAACACAAGTTCAGGCACAACTTCTGCAGTCACAGGCTCTTGGCCAAACTCAGAATATTCTTCAGCAGCAACCATCTATTCAGAACCATCAGCTACACAGAAATCTTTCTCAGAACCTGCAGCTGCAACAACAGATTATAGGTCAGAACCAACAGCAGAACTTAATGCCATCCCAGCTGCCCGATCAAGTAAATCAACAATTACAGATGTCTGAGAATCAAATTCAGTTTCAACTTTTACAAAACCTGCATCAACAACAGCAAGCAATTTTAGCACAGCAGCAGTCTACACTGCAACAGCCTCCCCAACTTCCGCAAGTACAAGATCAACAGAGACAGTTGTTAGATGCATCTCAGAGCTTTTCTAGGGCTGCAACACCCAGCCAAATGGTGGACATGCCTCAGGCAACGGCAATCGCAACCTCACTCCCTCCTCAGTCACACCTTATCCCACAGCAAATGTCGAAGACTAATAATAGCCAACCAAATATCCGGTTCTCTCATCCACCCCAGCAACAACCGAAGCTTCAGCAACATCAGCAACCTGGTGTGCTTCCAGAATTGCCTGGGCATTTGGGACACACCCCTACGAGCAATCAGCTCTCCACAACTGGCAGCAGTTTATTGACTGGAGCTGCAGGTGGAGGCCAATCTGGATTAACTGATGATGTTCCATCTTGTTCAACTTCACCTTCCACAAACAACTGTCCAGGCTTGGTTCAACCAATCATGAACGGTAGGGCCCAGCGAAGCATGGCAATCGGGGAGGAGATGACTCAGTCTTCTGCCACACTCTTGAGTTCCAGTGGTCTGGAAACCATGTCTGCTAATGCTAACTTAGTTAAAGATTTGCAGCTAAAACCTGATTTCAAGCCTTCATTGAACATTTCCAAGAGTCAAAACCAAGGATTTTTGGCCCCACAAACATATCTAAATGCTGCTGGAACCCAGATGGATTATTTGGACACTTCATCTTCGGCAACTTCAGTTTGCCTTTCTCAAAATGATGTCCATTTACAGCAGAACATCCCATTGTCTTTCAATCAACAATCATTATTGTTTAGAGACACAAGTCAAGATGGGGAGGTTCAGGGTGATCCAAGGAGCAGTGTTCGCTTTGGAGCAAACACTGATAGCCAATTGGGGATGCCCATGATTCCTGATCCTTTGCTTACAAAGGGTATGGTAGGTTCAGAGAAGGATTTCTCAAATAATCTGTCTTCGGGAGGTGGCTTGCTTTCCACCTACGAAAACCCCAAAGATACACAGCCGGAACTTTCATCATCAATGGTTTCTCAATCATTTGGAGTTCCAGATATGACTTTCAATTCTCTTGATTCCACAATAAATGATAGCAGCTTCTTGAGCAGGGGTGCCTGGGCACCACCATCACAGTTTCAGCGGATGCGAACATATACAAAGGTTTGGTGTTGAACATTAAACAATATCAGCAGCTAGAACTATGTTAATTCTTTATGTTAATCTTGAATTCTGACTTGAAAAATGTGCTAGTGAAGGTGTACAAGCGAGGAGCTGTTGGGAGATCAATTGATATTACCCGTTATTCAGGCTATGATGAACTTAAACAAGATCTGGCTCGTAGGTTCGGTATAGAGGGACAGCTGGAGGACCGACACAGAATCGGCTGGAAACTTGTGTATGTGGATCATGAAAATGATGTCTTGCTGGTTGGGGATGACCCTTGGGAGTAAGTACACAAACTTAATTCTTCCTGAAGTTTACATATGTTGTCATAAATGTCTTTTGAACAACACAAGAAGTAATGACTGCTGCTTCAAAATCTATGTTGTATCTTGTAAACATGAGAAATTCAGTTTTGAAAATCTACCTCTTCCATGTGTCTAATGGAGAAACGCCACATGATGGAACTTCTTTGAGTATTGGGGCTGTGCCATGAATTTTTTGGTGGTTTACTCTCTCTCTCTCTCTCTCATTTATTTATTTATTTTTATTATGGATTATTGATTTATTTTTTGGTGGTTCAATGGTTAAAACTTGGCCTAATAACCTTGAGGTTATGGGTTCAAGTCTTGGGGCCACCACTTGTGAATTATGTCAAAGGTTAGGTGTGTACTCAATCTTTCCCCTCCCAAACACATTTTTTTTTTGGGTGAATAAGTCATAAAATAAAACAGCAAACGGGCAAATACAAGAATACAAGGGGCATACCCCAGGACCTACCAAACTAAACAAAGCCACAGAAGCACACGAGCGGCTAGCTAACTAGACAAATACACAAAAAACCTAAGAGGAAGCAGAGGCTACAACATAAATCTAATTGCCCTATTCAAAACCCCATCAAAGATAGATTGGGCCAAGAACAGGCCCATAATGGAACAAAACAAAATCTCCATTCACCTCCTCAAGGTGCAAAATAGCAGCATTGAAACTAGACAAAGGGTCTAACAAGACACTAAATAAGAGAACTGCACAACCCGTAGAAAAATACATCCAAAGCAGAGGCCCAAAACACATCCAAAGCAGGCTAATTAATAAATACAAATCTAAAAGAGGACATATAGGTGGTGTTTGGGAACAAATTTTTTAGGTTTTTTTTTGTTTTTTTCACTAAAAGACAATTGGTTACAAATCCAAACAAAATATCACATCAAATCCCATAATCATTTCACTTTTTCTCTCACGAATATCACATCCAACCACAAAAAAACCCAACTCTCTTCCGAAACACAAAAAAGAATTTCTCCAATAATATCCTACAACCAAAAAAACTTACAAAAAAATCCACTTCCCAAACACCCACATAGTGGCCCTGTTTGGTAGAGCTGTGGGAAAAGTGATTATAACTTGTAGTCTAACAGTTTATAGCTTATAAACGGGCAAATACAAGAATACAAGGGGCATACCCCAGGACCTACCAAACTAAACAAAGCCACAGAAGCACACGAGCGGCTAGCTAACTAGACAAATACACAAAAAACCTAAGAGGAAGCAGAGGGTACAACATAAATCTAATTGCCCTATTCAAAACCCCATCAAAGATAGATAGGGCCAAGAACAGGCCCATAATAGAACAAAACAAAATCTCCATTCACCTCCTCAAGGTGCAAAATAGCAGCATTGAAACTAGACAAAGGGTCTAACAAGACACTAAATAAGAGAACTGCACAACCCGCAGAAAAATGCATCCACAGCAGAGGCCCAAAACACATCCAAAGTAGGCTAGTTAATGAATACAAATCTAAAAGAGGACATATAGGTGGTGTTTGGGAACAAATTTTTTAGGTTTTTTTTTTTGTTTTTTTTTTCACTAAAAGACAATTGGTTACAAAACCAAATAAAACAAATCCAAACAAAATATCACATCTAACCCCATAATCATTTCACTTTTTCTCACGAACATTACATCCAACCACAAAAAAACCCAACTCTCTTCCGAAACACAAAAAAAAAAATTCTCCAATAATATCCTACAACTAAAAAAACCTACAAAAAAATCCACTTCCCAAACACCCACATAGTGGCCCTATTTGGTAGAGTTGTGGGAAAAGTGATCATAATTTATAGTCTAACAGCTTATAGCTTATAGCTGTGAACATAAGCTGATTTTTTACTTATAAATTAAGCTTCTCCTCCCCCCACTTAAAGAATAAGTTGATTTTTGACTTACAAAAAGCTATAAGCTATATTGTTAAGCTGAACCAAACGCATCAAAATAGCTTAAATTAAGCTAAAAGCTGAAATAAGCTGAAAATAAGCCTACCAAACAGGGCCAGTATCCAAGAGTAAAGAAGAAACCAGAGAAAGCTATAAGTACAAAGTAACACATAAAACTGTCCATAGGAGAGCATGTACTCGGACTGGCGCAACTTGCAGCCAAGACAGCAAGACAAGCATGCTTCTCCAATACCAACAAGAGGCACGACTGTCCCAAAGCTCTGAAACTGGAATATCACCATGAAGCAACCTAGACCAACAGAGGACCCTTTCCAAGATAACCATAGGAGCAGATATGTGCTGGAACTGGCACAGAAAAGTGCTGCCTGGCCCACTGACAATCATACTCAAAAAAAAAAAAAAAAAAAAAAACCACGAGGTAATGGAACATAACCTGAGGAAAACCTCACTCATATATGTACTAACAATCTTAACACTCAGAAGCAGAGACACTCTCAAAGAACAGGTTAAAGAACCATATTTGAAAACCAATCCAAAAATATATCCTCACTTCACTAAGCTCTCACCAAAGAACTCCCCCAAACACATATTAATGTGTACTAATTGGGCGTTGTTTTATTATGGATTATTGATTTATATCTATGCAGCATTTGATTACCTAGAATGAACCCCATTACCCTTTGTCTGCCTGTTCTGCTATTTGCTTAGTTGTAAAATATCTTGCATAAATTTCAAGCGAGAATTTTCGCATCTTGAAACTGATGGTTGGTAACTCTTCAGGACCGGAAGGAGGAAAATTGAAGGAGAACAAAATTAGAAATCAAATAGCTTGGTTCTGGTGTTGAAGAAACTAATTGTTAGTTGAGTGTTAAGGATAGCAGGATTGGATCTCGTTGACAACAAAACTAATAGTTATGGTAAAGTTTTATTGTTAGCGTCTTGGTGGTATGGGTCATGAAAACAGTGTCTCCAGAAATGAGTAATAAATTAGTATAAGATTGTGTAAATCTTGCCCTCCCTTCAACCCACTTTAGTATGCCCATTGTGACAAATCAAGCCTTAAGTCTCCTTTAATGGAGTTGGCTACTTGAATCCTTTTTTTTCACCCGACTCTATTAAAAGGTTATTTAGTTAGTCAAATTAAGGAGATTCATATCTCTATTTACTACACTAATCCACGTCAATTTAGGCCTGCCCCTTCCCTTAACACTTTATCTATCGTTACTGTATCGCATCTCTTCACTTCTGCCTTTGTTGGTCTCCATTTTATATGATTAAATCATCTCAATCTATTCTTTCTCAACTTATCTTCTATCGGTGTTATTTCTACCCATTCACGAATATACTCATTCCTAACTTTGTCTTTTCTAGTCTTGCTACACATCAATATATACTTAATTTTTTAGCAAGTGTACCTTGCCATTAACATGCAGGCTCGCAGTTTCTAAATATAAAATGATTCTTGCAGAATTGTGCTCACTATTTTATCATTTCTCATATTCCTGAATTAATCATTGATTTGTGTTAATTAAACTCTAACTGGTTCCTGTACCTTACAGAGATCTGAATAGTCAGTCCATGTCAACTTACATGTTTGGGTTTTTTTTGTGCATTTCATTCAGGGAGTTTGTAAATTGTGTTCGTTGCATCAAAATTCTTTCACCACAAGAAGTCCAAGCAATGAGCTTGGATGGAGATTTTGGGAACAACGTTCTTCCAAATCAAGCCTGCAGCAGCTCGGATGGTGGAAATGTGTAAATTAGGCTACTGATGAAATTCTAGTGATTCCTCTTCCAAGTTGAAATCTTACTACTAGGTATTACTAGGAAATATATGTTTGTTGCTCTCGCACGGCCAAATATTCTCTGCACTGGGTTTCCTATTGTCTTCCATACTTGGGGAGGAGAATAAGGTGACTCCATTTGGGATCTCAGCATATATAGGAAGTAATCTCTGCCAGTTAAACTTTGTTTTTCAACTTGGGCCTGATTCTGAAAAGTATGAGCGTGGGCAAGATTAACAGGATGGCCTGGTCGGTCTAAGAAGCATGGCTATGAAGCTGTGATTTCAGTTCAGAGAAGAACAGCATGCATTGAAACTTTTTTCGAATATGATGATGTTTGTTGTGAGATCAATTTCAATTTGTTGTGCCCTATTATGTTGACTACCCTCCCACTCAGGTGGTGAATTGTAGAAAGTAATAGCTTGAAATTTGTATGGCTTACACTCTGATTGTATAGATTTGTAGATTTCTCCTTTTAACCAACCCCCACCCTTTAATGAAATTGCTTAGTCTTAAAATTCTTTTTGTTCATGAAGGAGGTGAGGCTTTTGGATTGTATGTTCAATACTGGTGCTTTTCTTAGTTGCTTCAAACAGAAAGTGAGTTTTAGAGTTGAAGTCGTGGATTTATTGAAGAGAATGATTTGCCTGTCATTTGTTTTTTTACACTATTTAAGCTACATGATAGTTTCTTCTCAACATTTAGGGGAGGCAAGGCAATCTTAATTCTTGATTTCGTAGTGAGATGTAAAATCAACTGTTAGTAAGCTCTAGTTATTTTTAGGGATGGCAATAGGGGTTAATCGGATGAATATTAATTCCTTCTCATTCTCCTATAATTATTTTTTTCTATTCTCCATTTCTTATTCTCCATGGTACTATCCCTCATCTCTTAATGGATTTTAATTTTTTCAACCCAACTTGACTTTTTTTTTTTTTTTAAGGTTCATGACTTTTTTTTTTTTTGGTTGATTCACAACCAAAATTAAATATACATTCAATCTTATTTTATTTTATTTGGCTCAACAACAAAATTAAATGCACATTAATTAAAATTGTCACATTATTCTTGTCAAATTTTATGTATATTTAAAAAAATAAATAATTTATTTAAAAAAATTCTATTCCTACAAAAAAAAAATTCATCTTTTTTATTTTTTTTAATTTTATGTATCTCCTCTCTGTTAATTGATTTTCGATAATCTTAACGTGAGTTGTTACTCTCGTTTCCATCTTCTTCTTTTTCTTTTTTCTTTTTTAAAAATTATTTGTATTTATAAAATGAATTTTCTTGTTTTAATATCTCATGCAATTATTTTATTGGATTTCTCTCTGATTTGATGGTAACCTTAGATTGAATTTCTCAATTTTCATCTTAACTAGTGATCACCTTAATTGAAATTTTGTACATTTTTGTCTTCAATTTTCATATTTTGGTTATGATTAATTGCGCATTTTTGATTAATAGTCACAATCTTGTGGTGGCTAGATTGTCGCCATCGCAAATCGTCGTTACTGTAGTGAGAGGATGAAAGAGAGTGGGAATTGGAACTCTAATTGTAAACAGAGTAGTGAAAACTAGGGATGACAATAAATAACTTACCATGGGGGTATCTATGGAGACCCAACCCAAATACATGAGTTTTCCCTTTTTTTCTTGTCCGTCGAGTAGGATAAGTAATGTTCTTTAAATCTCCATCAGAGATGGGTACTCAATAATTTTCTCATTTTTTTTAGGTACATCAAAAAATAATTTCTTCATATGTTTTCATTACTCTATTTACAATTAGAGTTCTAATTCTCACTCTCTCATCCTCTCACTATAGCAACGGCGATTTGCGATGGCGACAAGATTGTGACTATCGATCAAAAACGAGCAATTAATCATAACCAAAACATAGGAATTGAAGACAAAAATATACAAAATTTCAATTAAGGTGATCACTAGTTAAGATGAAAATTGGGAAATTCAATCTAAGGTTACCATCAAATCAGAGAGAAATCTAATAAAATAATTGCAGAAAATATTGAAACAAGAAATTCATTCTATAAATGCAAATAAAAATTAAAAATTAAAAAAGAAGAAGAAGAAGAAGAAGAAGAAGAAGAAGAAGATGGAAACGAGAGCAACAACTCACCTTCAAATTATCGAAGATCAATTAATAGAAAGGAGAAGGAGATATATAAAATTATTATAAAAAAGAAAAGAAAGAAAGAATTTTTTTTGTAGGAATAGAATTTTTCTAAATAAATTTAAAAAATTCTAAATATATATAAAATTTGACAAGAATAATGTGACAATATTAATTAATGTGTATTTGATTTTGTTGTTGAGCCAAATAAAATAAAATAAGATTGAATGTATATTTAGCTTTGATTGTAAATCTTAAAAAATAAATAAATAAAATAAATAAAAAAGAGGTCAAGTTAGGTTGGGAAAAATCCAAACCCATTAAGAGATGGGGAGGGTAGTATCTATGGGGAATGGAGAATGGAGAAAAACAATTATAAGGGAATGGGGACAAGAATTAATATCCACCCTATTAACTCTCATTGCCATTCCTAGTGAAAATATATGGAGAAATTATTTTCCGATATACCTTAAAAAAAAGAAAAAAAAGAGCTTATGGGGAAATTAGTGGGTACCCATCTCCGTCCCATCCCCAATGGAGATCTAAAGAACATCACTTACCTTATCCGACAGACCAAAAAAAAAAAAAGAAAAAAACCTATGTATTTTGATTGAATCTCTATAAATATCCACAAAATAAGTTATCTATTGTGATGCTTAATTATTTTGTAGAACGACTTCACTTGTAACCTTTTGCGCTTTCTACTTTTTTTTCATTTCCTTTTTTTTATGACTTTTTTGGTCATTGGTGATAATGAAACTTCAAGTCCCACTCTCTTCTTTCATGTCATGCCAACCCTTTAACTACTACGTTTGTTAGAAATTGGGCGCCTATGTTGCATGACTCATGAACCTTTTGAACTTTATCCGTGTAAGTTTGAATTTGAATTCAAAATTTATTTGGATAACCACTCATGATATTTATATCTATCATATCAACTGATATGGATGGATTGATATATATGGTTATATATCAGATTATATATTTTAAATAATATATTGATATCAGATACGTTATGTGGTTTTTATCCATAACATTTTTATATACTCTCTCTCTCTCTAAATCTCTACTATTATGAGAATGATCCAGCCTTTGCACTGTGACTTGTGTGAGTGATACTCATATTGTGGTATCACTCTACTCTTGAGAGTTCGTTGTTCGCATTTTTGAAGCACGTGATTTACCCACAAGATTCTTCACTTCAGGTTCTATCACTTAAGGTATGATCTGATATTTTTACCCGCTGCGAATCCTTGTTTTACATTGGTATCAGAGCCTTAATGGGTATTTTCGTGTTTATTTTATGCAATAAAATATGTGTATAATTTTATATAAATATATACACGATATATGCATGAAAATTAATAATTTTTCAAAACTTTACATGCATGGTGGTTTTACATGCTTTAATTTCAGTCTGCAAATCTTACATATTTAGAATCCTTGTTTCGAGACCTTCGAAACCATATATTATTTGTTAGATTTGGATTTACAGTTGATGAGATTCATCAGACCCTAATTTGGGTTCGTTTTGATTTTTTGATGGTTTGAGGAGGAAGATGAAGTGCAGGATTTATGCACTTCCACTCTCATTAGAAAGAGAGCGTAATACACCTTGATGATACAGTAATGATGGTAGGACGGGTTGGACTAATCCACGCTCTTCAAGTCTAATATCCGAATGATCAAACCCACCAAAGAACCTGCACACGAGTTCAACGGGGAACGGGGAGTCCCCCCCCGAACCCTCTGACGAGCAAGTTAGAGAGAGAGAGTGGAGTATGTAGATGGATTAGAGATAGAAAGCTTAACCTTCTTCTTGTCTTCAACATCTGCTTACATCCTTTGGTAATCATTTCGTTGTCCCTTCCGACCTGTCACCTTGGCCAAAAGTCTATGTTGTAGCTTACCTTGTTTAGGGTGAGGGTGTGCTGTCTTGACGGAGAGGTGTTGTCGTAATAAATGCTGTAAGGGGTTGCATTAATGGTGATGTGCAGTGGCAATAACTTTGCAGATCTTTTTCTGTTGATGTGGCTTGCCCTTTACCTACCACGTGTCTGAATATCATTGGTCCTTCATGTCATGTTGACTTCCAGCCGTGCTGGGCCTTATCAGTTGGGTTATGCATTGAGCCCTAAGTGGTAGGCTTGGGTTGTTCATAGTGGGTTATGGGCTTTATGAGCCTATCCATGTCAGTAGTCCCCCATTCCCAAGTACAGCTTTAGTCCAACGAAGGGAATAAATAGCGAAAGGAACGGCCGACTAGAAGTGGCTGAGTGGAGGGACTGACCATGAGGAGGGCCGACCATGAAGGGTAGACGAGCGAGGGGACCGACCATGAGGAGGGCCGACCACGAAGGGTAGCCGAGTGGAGGGACCGACCATGAGGAGGGCCGACCGCGAAGGGTAACCGAGTGGAGAGACCAACCATGAGGAGGGCTGATCGCGAAGGGTAGGGCGGCGGGGCGCGGGGCTCGAGAGGCGGCGGGTCACGTGACGACTGGAAGTGGGAAGGGGGACAGTGAATCGTGCTCGTATACGTGGCAACATCTGGTGGGAGGAGGTCAGGCGTTGGGCCAGGAGTGAAACGATAGGTCATTATAAGGTGTTGAAAAGACAGTGTTGGCGGTTTTTTGAAAAAATTTCAAACTGGCGAAATTTAATAGGGACCCTTGGAATACGGGCAAACCTTAGGCCTTTGGGATTACTCGCTTTACCTATCTCTTCACAAAACATCAAAACATTCCTAGCATAAACTCCTTCGTTGCCAACGATACACCCCTGCAACACTTCTGGAATTTTCTTGTGCCCGCATCCGAAGCTATTCGAAGACATACAATAGGGATGGCACAAGAGGAAGCAACCACCGCAAGGGTTGATCCCCTAGGGGATAATGACGCGGTGGACCTGGCAGAACGATATAGGAGGGAGAGGCAAGTGGAGAAATCAGGGGAGCCGGCGGGTTTAGCTCGTCCGTTGACAATGATAGCAGCTCCGAAACCAATAAGCCAGGCTGAGCCAAATCACTGGCATACGAAGGCTGACAAGTCAACCGTTACGGCGGAGGAGTTGGAGGGTATACGAAAAAAATACCAAGTGCCTGAAGAAATAGAGTTGATGTTACCGACAGCAACAGAGAGGCCTTCCGACGCCCAGCCGGGGGAGTTTGCCCTATACGAAGAGGCGTTGAAGGGAGGGTTGAGGTTGCCGCTTCCACGGGTGGTAGTGGATGTCCTCAACTGACTGGAAGTCGTGCCAGGCCAACTAATGCCCAACGCATGGAAGATTGTACTGGCCTGTGCAAGTGCGTGGCCAAAGGCGAACGAGGGAGCGGCCATGGCGGTGGACGAATTTTTTTTCCTGCTATAAGGCCTTGGACCAGCAAGAAACTTGGGTCACTTTGCAGGCGGCGGCAAGAAAGGGTTTGGTGGCGAGGTTGCCGTCATCAATTAAAGGATGGAGGCCGCGGTGGTTCTATGTATCTGC